TGTGAACATTTAAAACTAACACGAGTCTCTATAAGTGTCCAGTTTTAGGGTCTTACACAGAATTATACCAAACAACATGAATCAAACATGCACTTTATTTATTTACACTAAATGTCAAAAGTACATCAAATCGGATTGAAGCTAAGGGCATACAAAACTGTCTAACACCAGTGATCAAAATCACCAAGACAAATGAAAAATACCAATGGTCATTAGATGAGTAAGAAACTGCACAATCAATATCTTTTCATTCAGTTTTCATAAAAAAAAATTCATTCACTATACTTGAATCTTGAGACATAATACAAGGGGCAACCCCATTGAATTCTTGCTCTACTTAGAAGGGGACTTGAATAGAAGGTATCTAAAATTTGTTATGATCCAATTTTTTCATCAATCAACTAAACCAACCAGTATTTAGTTAATTGCAACAAAGATCAGAGCCACTTCACACATATTGGTGGCTTACATTGATTCCCTTATTCTAAATTGTAAAAGTGATCAATTGATGGAATGGATTGGAGGGGCAGACTGGCAGAGGGATTCCTTGCTGAAGGTGTCTGCTTAACAAATGGGATTGTCTATCTTGTATGGTTGTTATGATGTGACCCTTGGTGCCCATAATTATTACCAAGATGGTTTTTAACATTCTATTTCCTATCCTTTAAGAATTTCCTGTATGAGGTTATTTGTTAATAACCTTTGGTTTCTAGCCTCAAAGAGAACCCTAAATGCAACTAAATAATTCATTTCTTCTCTAAGGAAAGATACATTTTTTTCCTTGCAACTTTGTTTTCTCTTGAGAAGTGACTTTACAGCTGATTTTTTTTTTTGCCTTTTATTTGTCCTTCTCTTTTCATCTCTTATTTCCATATCTTGTCAAATATCCTTTAGAGCTTCAGTGACCTATGTTAAATGTGATCTTCTTCTTTGTCATTGGATTGTCCTGTAGTACCATATCTTCTTCGTAGATAAATCCGTAACATATTGTACAACAAGGTAATTTTAGAGTTTGGGCATCTTTTTGGTTCTCTCACTTTTTTTGCAAATTCGACCACTTGTTATTTTTGCTGTCAATGGTCGGGTCTAGGTAGAACCAATCATGAGCCTAATTAATCAGTACAACATCACACAGGATCGTCCTGGTTAATAGTTGGGTCTATTGGGTCCAGACCCGATTATACTGAAAACTATATTTGCTTATTTAAATAATAACTTAAAATTCAAGAACAAGAACTGACCCAATTATTAATTGGGATAAAATCATGGAACCAAAACCATTATAATCAGTTTGGGCCCATCGGGTAGACCTGACCCATTGACAGCCCTAATTCAGAGAATCTTTTACATTGACTATGTTTGTAACTATTCCCTGTTATTTTTCTTGGTTTGTTAAGCTCTTTTACGTTGACTATGTTCACATGGCTAATTCAGAGAATCTCTTTCTTTTCATCAGGTTGAATATCAAGAAAAACAATTTGCCCAGGGGCTGATTCCTCATACATTCATGCGGAGGGAGGGTGCTCCGCAGGAACGTGAACTTCTGTGTGGTCGTCTCATAGATCGACCAATACGACCTTTGTTTCCTGCTGGATTCTACAATGATGTTCAGGTGTTTTTTATTGTCTAGGTTTTTCCAGTATATATATATATATATCGATAATTGGTTTTTCCAGTATATTTTTGTCAAGCACTTTTTTCTTTTCGTTATCATCTTGTTTTTACTGTTCCTTGATCAAGATCACTGGTTTTATAGGTAATGGCAAGTGTTCTTTGTTCTGATGGGAAGCAAGATCCAGATGTAATGGCAGCTAATGCCACATCTGCTGCTCTTATGTTATCAGATATTCCTTGGGGTGGTCCCATTGGAGTGATACGTATAGGAAGGGTATGCGGGGAATTTATTGTTAATCCAAGCATGGATGAGGTAATACATAAATCTTTTCCTAGTTTACTTGGCTTTTAGTGATCCTGCTAATAAAGTGATGTAAATAAATTATAAAATTATAATAAAGCGGTCCCATTATCATTGGACACAAAAAGGAATAATCAGAATTACAAAACTAGCCATGTTGACCAAAGTAGTGGTAGCATCAGACTTACAAGGCCAGGTTACCAAAAGTATTGGTAGACATTGATTATCTCAAAAAATGTGTCTGTATTTGGAAAGGGGGGGATTATTCGATCTTATTCAGTTTTATGTTACCATTGAGGCTCCCCTAAGAGGTGACAGCCATTTGCCTTTACTGCAAAATAACCAGAAGAGGGTGGTCACAAAAAAAACCCCAAAAGAGGGGTCTTTTTCTCCTCTCATCTTCTTCCATAATCTATAGATGTATAACTGGGAGGTGTTGGGATCTGCTGGGTTATGCTGAGCTCTGTCAAAGACCTACTGTGATGTTGGAAGATCCGGGGTTTGAAGTAAAAAGGAAAGCTGGTGTGGAAAACCATTCCTGTGGCTGTCCTTTGGTCTGAAAGAAACAATATAATCTTCTGTAACAAAATGAAAAACTCAGATGAGTTAGTGCAGTGTGTGGTTAGCAAGCTGATTTCTTGGGTGTCTGTAAACTCTGAATTTAAGCACCTGAATGTCCCTCAGTTGCTCAGTCTGTAATCTGAGTCGATCCTTGGCTAGTCCTCTTCTGGCTAGGATTCTGTTGTATCTTTTTCTTCTATTATTAATAAACTTTTACCTTACGTTTCAAAAAAAAAAACTGGGAGGTGAGCATGAACTTAACCTAAGTAGGTAGAATTATTGGAAAATTGCATCAGTATCCTGAAGGTGTAGTCAGCCTCAGATATGCCTTCTGTTTGTCCTGTGTAAAGTTGATACTAATTTCAGCTATAATACAGCTTAACTTAAGTGATCTCAACTTGGTTTATGCCTGCACACGAGATAAAACTTTGATGATAGATGTACAAGCCCGGGAAATCACAGAGAGAGATCTAGAAGCAGCATTGCGACTAGCACATCCTGAGGTGGGTAATAAGACAACTTGTCAATAGTGTCTCTTTCATTTGAAAGATCCTACTGAGATCTTTTTTTTTTTATTTTCTTTGTTTAGGCAGTAAAATACCTTGAACCTCAAATCCGATTGGCTGCAAAAGCGGGAAAGCACAAGAGGGATTATAAAGTATTCCTTGTCTCAGATATGACACTGCAGAAAGTCAAGGACTTTTCAGAGGCACCTATAGAAGCTGTTTTTACAGATCCCACGTATGGCAAGGTGCACCATAACCATTTTATTAATACTTTTTTACAACTCTTTCTCTCTCTTTCTCTCTCTCTCTCTTGTTTTCTGTTTTCTACTTATCCATATGTTATTATTTCTTTGATAGTTTGCAATTTATGCATCTCCTGTCAAGTGTCAATTACTCTTTTATGTATAATGTGCTTTCAGTTTGAACGTGGAGAAGCCTTGGATAAAATTACACAAGATGTAAAGAGAATACTTGAGGAAGAATGTGACGAAGACAGCTTAAAAGTTCTACCAAAGGCAGTTGATGCAGTTAGGAAAAAGGTAACCTCTGCTGGTCATTTTATGGTAGTATCCGTATTCTCAAATATATATGAGTTATTTATTTATTTATTTATTTTTATCTCATCTGGATTCTAGTTTGCAACGTTGCATTTTGTTTTAATTTCTTAAATTATGACCATATGTAAACCATGAAATATTCCACTCATTGTTGAGAATCGAGTTGGAAATTTTAGCATTGGTTAAGAATGACTCTCTTCAACCAGAATGAATTAAGAACTGATCTGCATCACCAAATCTACTTTGTTCATGGAGGTTTTTTGACACAAAGTATCATAGAACCTGCATGGCTTTTGTAGCTTTAATATTCTGCACTTAAGTTTTGCTATGAGGTCACTGTTTTACATGGGAAGAGAGTTGGGTGAATGCTATAGATTTATTGACTTTTTCTCACATGGCTCAGATAATCTATTGGCTTTTGTTATTACCAATAAAAAAACTCATGGCTTTTCTTTGTAGTCATATGGGTAATTTGGTCAATTTACATATTTGATTGGAGGGGGGGTTGTCTGGTCATTATTTGGGTTCATTTAAAATTTCAAAGTCATTGGATCAGTAGCAATTCCATAGTGATGCTGATTGCTGAAGGATATTCTGAGCTACAGTTGTCATAATCTTACAATTTACAACATCATTCATGATTCAAATCATGAATCCCAAGTGCTCCAATTCAAAACTCATGTCTAAATAATTTTCTGCAAAAGTTTCATGGTTACTGCTTGAAATCCTAATATTCGATTGTAAATCTTACTATTTATGTGATTCATGTAATCGAAATCAATTAAACTAAAGTTCTCTATTTTGTCATTTCTCTGTTTCTTTTAATTTTTTTGAAAGGGGTTTTTATTTTAAAATGCTTACTACAATATAATTTATTTAAGTTATTCAGGACCTATGTAGAAACCATATTGAATTTATTTTCATTCATGTGAAGTTAATGAACCATTGTATGTGGATTTGTTGACATTCAAGTTGATGTTGATTATATCATATTAGGATTCTAGTGTAATCAGAGGTGGGAGGAAGAGGTGATGACTCTTAGTTTTGATGGAAGTGCTTTTGGAAATTTGGGTGTGGCTGGAACTGGAGGTGTAATCAGAGGTGGGGATGGCGATGTCTATTGGTCTCACAGTGGACTAATTGGTATTGCCAACTCCACAAGGTAGGAATTTTGGCTGCTCTCATTTGACTTCTTAAGTGGCTAGGAAATTTTGCTAATACTATCAAGTGGCTAGGGGAAAAGGAGGATGGTCCTTGGAAACTAGCTCACTACCTGACTGAAGCTAGCGACATTCTGAATTCTATGGTTGTAGGTCTGTATTGGATGCCTAAGCAAAACACAATTGTTGATGGTCTAGCAAAGTCTGGTGCTAATCTGGAGTGTTTATGTAGTGATAGCTCTCTACATGTGCAGCCTTTAGTGGCTGGTGTCTTTTTGTTTCCCCGTGTACATCATATTATGTACTATTCCCTTTTAATGAATTTTAGTTATCTTTTTTCAAAAAAGTTCCATGTTATATATATATATATATATATATATATATATATAGTTTTTTGGGAGGCTAATAAGTTGGAGGGATTAATGAGAAATTTTCTTTGGGAGCCAGGGGAAGAAAAAAGGATCATTTAATTAATTGGGAAATAGTTTATAGGAGTAAAGAGGAAGGTGGACTGGGTTTAGGAAATATAGTTCTTAAGAATAAAGCTCTTAGGAAAATGGCTGTGGAGGTGGCCCATAGACAGGGAAAGGGTATGGCATGAAGTGATAACTAGTATGCTTGGCAGATTGCAAAATGGATGGGATGCTGGTGTATCGTGTCGAGCTATATTGGCAACTCCTTGGAAAGCAATTTAGAATGTCCTCCCTCAATTCCTCAATTTTGTCAGGTATGATGTTTGCTTTGGTAACTCTGTTTTGTTTTGGGATGACATTTGGGTGGGTAGCTCTGCTCTTAATGATCGTTTTCTGTCCCTTTATTCATTTTCCCTCTAGAAGGAAAAAGTTGTCTCTCATTTTCTTCCAACACCTATCTCTTCCTTGAGCTGGGACTTTGGATTTCGTAGGGGATTAAGGGATCATGAGCTTATTTGTGTTTCAGACCTTTTGTCACTTCTTGGCAGTGTTTTTTTGGGCCCTCTTTGATCAGATGTGAGATTATGCTCCCCTCATCCAAAAGGTTACTTCACTTGTGCCTCCTTTTTTAAGACCCTTTGCTCTTCCCTGGGACTGTTGGGTTTTCCAACTAAGGAGATACTATACCTGTTCCACCTAAAATTTATTATTTTCTGTTGGAAGGTGTTTTATAGAAAGATCAATACCTTGGACTGCTTCCAGAAGAAAATGCCTTTCATGTGTTTGTCCCCTAATTGGTGTGTACTTTGCAAGGCTACTGGTGAGGATTGCTCCAACTTACTTTTATTCTGTTCTTTTTCTGTTGCTCTTTGGGGTGGGATTTTGGCTTTGTTTGGGTGTAGGTGGAATCTGACCACAAATGTAAGTCAGCTATTTGATCCTTCCTTTTATGTGTGGTCTACATAAAAGGTAGAACTATTTCGAGATGTGTTAGAGCAGCTGCCTTGTGGACAATTTGGGAAGAAAGAAATGCAAGGTAACTCCAAGAGAAGGAAAGAAGCATTCAGGCTGTAGAGGAATGCATTTTGACTAGGGCAATCCACTGGTTGAGAACTCTGGACTCCTTTAACAGTTAACACCTTTTCTTTTGATGATATTTGCAGAAACTGGATAGTTGTGGATAACAGCCATACCAGGAAGGACAGGATACCGGCAGTGTGGGTGCCTCCTTCTGAAGGTTGGGTAAAGCTGAATTTTAAGTAGCTAAGGCAATTCGGGCCCTTTGGGGATAGGAGGGGTTTGAGAGATAAGGACAACAACATTTTAGCCTTGTTTTCAGGCCCCATGGGAATAGGAGACTCTAACAGAGCCGAGTTATTAGCGGTTGTACAAGGTATTCAGATTGCAGACCAACTAGGGGTTCAGAATCTGGTAATTGAAGGAGACTCCAAAGTTGTGGGATGGTTGACAAATCCAGGCTCAGTTATATGGTGATATAGGGACTTTTTAAGGAATGCTAATTGGTTTTCAAGGAGTATGACTATTACCTCACTTTGGGTGGGCAGAACAACAAATACTTTAGTGGATGGGTTAGCTAAGCAAGGGGCCTCATGGGAACAATTATTTTGGGCAGCCCTGTAATTTTTTCTTTTAGTTTGATGTAAAACTTTGTTTGGAGAGGTAACAGCTCTTGCCTCTCTGTGGGTAGTCTGTAATGTTTTAACCTCTTGATCTGTTCATTAATAAAATTATCTTCATTTATCAAAAAAATATAAAGTTTTTAGTATATCTGTTTTTAATTTTCTGGCAATTTAATAAAAACAGAGATGACCTTATGATTTGTGATATACTTCATTATTCAATTTGATTTAATTCAACTTTCTTTACAATTTTTATATGCTTACAGTTTTCAGAAGGCTCCCCGATTAATTATGTATTTTTGTTATATTTTTACTTTGAAGCTGAATAGAACGAGTAAAGGAAAGTTGAAGTGGGATTTTTATTTCTCAAATTCTGAATTGCTTTTCCGTTTATCTTATTACTATCTTTTTTTTTGAAAAAGGTGAAGTATAAGTGTATTACTTCCTCAAAGAATCGGCTGATTTACAACTGTTGCTATTAGTTTTATACAGTAATAAAAAATCCATAGAGAGCATAATCAGGTAATGGATAGTATGCAGCTCTTTTTTAAACAACAGCCATGGGTAAGCATTTGCACTATTGCACAGCATCCCTTGTTACTTCCGAAGTGTCTGCCTCCTTTTTGTCAAAAATTCTTTTATTGATAAAAAAAATTCTTTTATTTCCCTCACCCCAAACTACCCAACAAATGGCTGAAGGGATGACATTTTAAATCCATTTTTTGTTTCTTGCTGAGGCCTTTCACTTGCCAGCTTTGAACACTTGCCTGCAATTTTTTTTTTGGGGAAACACCACATGATGTTAAGCCCTTTCAGAAAGTGTTAACACACCTTTGCATTAAATGGGCAGTGTATGGATAGATGATCCACCTGCTCCACCTCTTTGTGAAACAATACACAGTCATACACTCATACTGGGGTAATGCCATATCTCTTCTTAAGAGTTGTCATCTGGTTATGCATCTGTTCACTATTTCTGACCACAACATAAAGGCAACTTTTGATGGAATAGGGACCTGCCATTGCTTGTCCTGTCTGTGCCACAAGCCATCAGCTGTTTTGTGAATGATTTTACTAAAAAAACCTTAGTCTTATTCCATTTCCATTCCTCATATCCTTAAGGTTATCTTATTAGGTTGTTTTTTTGAGCTAAAAGAAAACAGATTTCATTAAAAAAAGAAAGGGGGACATGAGAGTATGTGTAATCTGTGTGAGTGCCTCTTCTTATTAGGTTGTTCGTAGAAGGATTATTGAAGAAGGGATTAGAGTTGATGGGAGACGCCTTGACAAAGTTAGGCCATTATACTGTGAAGCTGGTCATCTGCCAATGTTGCATGGATCATCACTTTTTTCACGTGGAGATACTCAGGTTGATCTCTCTCTCTCTCTCTCTCTCTTTCCTTCCCCCCTCCACTCCCCCTTCCCACTTGGGTTTCTTTTGTTAGTGGAAAATTCAACTATGCAGTTGTGCTCTATCTTGCTGTATTAACCTTTGTGAAATTACATTTATAGGTATTGTGCACTGTTACACTTGGAGCACCGGAAGATGCACAACGGTTGGTTTCCTTGGTGGGTCCTCCAACAAAGCGCTTCATGCTTCACTATAGTTTCCCACCATTTTCAATTAATGAAGTTGGTAAACGTGTTGGCTTGAATAGACGTGAAGTAGGACATGGTGAGTTATTTTTCTGTTGTCTTTTACAGAGCAATGCAAAGTAAAAAAACTGAATAATTGAGATTTTTTTTGATAAAATGGGAAAGGGAATAGTTGAGATTGATAAATCAAGGATGCTTCCTATGATGGGTTTATTCTCTCCACGAATTTATGAGTTGATATTACAACTTGTACTGTCAATATATATGGCGCCAAACTTATTTGCAGCTCTATTCTGATTTGTAATGCCGTTTTAGGAAAAATACCAGTATCTCCTTTTGTTTACTTCATGGTTTTAAACTTCCACCAAAACTGAATTAATTCCATCAATTCCACTAGGGATGCAAATTAGGTTGGGCCAACCTGAACCAAGCCCAAGAAAGTAGTGCTTGTTTGAAGAATGGATTAGGGTTAGGATTGGAAAATGCAACCCAATGTAAAGGTGGGGTTGGGTTGAGGTTGATGCCTTGGGCAATTTCATTCAACCAAACCCAATGTATTACACTTGATATATTCTTTTTGGTTTTGTATGATGCATGTACTGATTTGTGTCTATAAATATATGTGAGAGGGGAAGGAGAGGATGTTGATGAAAGGTGGTATATTGTACTATAGTATTTTGTTTGCATCATTTGCACCGATAATTTCTGTACTTGCATGAGTATGGAGTCTGTGTCATGCATGTTATTGTACTGAACTCAATCTAATCTCATGGTTAGGTTGGTTTGCAGTTAGGAACCTTGGGTTGAAGATAGGATTGTGTTAGGGTTGAGGTTTTAGCCCACTGGGTTGGGCTAGTTTGACCACAGCCTGAGCGGCTGAGCCAATCTGGCCTGTGTTGCACAATTAACTTCCACCTTTATGTCTGTAGAAGTGAAACTTACCCCATAAAGCAACATTCACCCATTTGCTATTCTTCTCACCCATTTAAAAGTTTTCACTCATTGATAGTCCTAACTCCTAACTGTGGTTGTCAAGGCGTATAGGCGATAATGGACTGCCTAGCATAGGAGTTACCTAGGTGAAAACTTGGGTTCCTGAATTTGCTCTACTACTATCCAAAACCGAAAGTGTCCAGTACTTCAGTCCTCATTGATAGTCCTAGCTGTGGTTGTCAAGGCATGTAGGCAACAATGGAATACATGACCTAGGAATTACCTAGGTGATAGAATTTGACAGAGAAAAACAAACTAAGTTCTAGTTTATTCGCTAATTTTATATACCAATCAACATGCATATAAATTAAAAAACAACAATTCTTTTAACGAAATAACACTGAAATTTATTTAAAAATGACATAGTAACATTTTATATTTATTAGTTTCAATGTTTAAAAAGCAAAATTATAATACATACAACAAGTGTTAATAGAAAATTTGCAGGTAACAAAAGCTATTAGCAACTAAAGAAGGCAATAATTTTATACCAATAAAAGATGTAATAGAGAGAGTGAGTGTTATGAATTGCAGAAAGAGTGGGTGTTATGATTTCTGTGGACATGCTACCCCCCCGTCTTGTGTAGCACCTTTTCCGTTTTGAGTCCGGATTTCCTACCCACTACAATTCCACCCATACCTACCCACATACATCTTAGCCACACATGGGGAACATCTCATGCTCTTACATATTATTATGCATGAGATGTTCCCAATGCATGGAGGTAATGTTTTGTGAGTAGGTGTGGGCAGAATTCTTGTGGGTAGGTAATCCAAAGTCTTCCGTTTTATCAAAATAAGAAAAAAAAAACAAAGCTGATTAATAAAATAGCGGAAAGCAAACTAAGGAGTAGAGCCCTTGTTCTATTTCATGTGTGTATTTTTTTTGATGAATCTATTTCATGAGTGTACAAGACAGAGAAACTGCAGAAACAAGAAAAAAGACGAACTCTCCTTCTCTTATCTTCCTTTCTTTGTTTAGAAAATCCTTGGATATTTTATTTTTCAACAGTAAATCCTAAAATACAATAAGGTATTTTGTCTTGTAATTTATGTTGCATAGGCAGGCTCTTGGTTGTCTAGATAGATGCCCATTTTATATAACTCATGGCATTCTGGCTAGGCACCACACAGGGTGCCTTGTCGCTTAGGTAATGTGTTGATAACTATGGTCTTAGGTGATTCAGCTAATGCTTTGATGTAGGAATCTGGATCTGGACCTTGGAGATTGACATGCTGCTTGACTGAGATTGGAGGCATTTTCACTTTCTTCTAAGTTCTGTCATATTTATCCCATATTCCTACGGAGCTGTGGCCTGTGTGTGGTAGCAGATGGTTTGGTTGGGGCAAGTTTGGGAACTGGGAAGAACCTTTTTTGTCTAGTGAAAGTTCTATGTCTAGCTAATTCTTTTGCTTCAAGGATGGGGCTGCATAATACATTATGCACTCATGTACATCTTCCCATTTACATCTTTTTAAGGGATGCCACTCAATGTTGGTCCTGACAATCCAGGGCCTTGGGAGGGTCAGACTGGATATGGACCAAACCCTCAACATTTTCTTTTCTGTTCTTTTTTTTTCCTAATCACACACAGTGGCTGTTCTCAGACTTGCATTCTCATGCTTGTCAGCCCAAATTTTACTATTGCACCAGGCAATAAGCCCTGTAGTTTAACATCTTTCTGACATATCTAATTTGATTTCTTGGTTACATTATTAAAATGTAATAATCTATGATGATGTCTGATTTCCATGTTGACTATATGAAAACCAGACGTTGAATGCAAAGTTCAAAATTTTGACATGATACACCCCATATTGGGTGTATTGTATCGTGTTGGCAGGTGGCCAATACAGCCTTTTCAAAGCATTTTAAGGAAATTAAATAACATTAAAAGAAGCCTCTTCTGAAATTTTGAAAAGAAAACTAAATAAAATGATGTGTTAGGTACAAAGTACCGATACACCTTCCGGTGTATTGGGGTGTATCGATACTTTGAGCCTTTGGTTGAATGCAAGGTTCAATGTATTCTCGGTTATATTACTTTAAACCTTTGTTATATTACTGATTTAGTTGCCTTGTTTATTTTCAGTTATACTGATTGTTATTCTACAAAAAGCTGTTTTACTTTCAACTATATATTACTTGATATTAAGTTCAAAAGGAAGAGCTACCTCCTAGTTTCCATAAGAGGCTTAGAGGCCTGCATTTTTCATGCATGAACAGACATCACATTGAGAGAAACATTAGCAAATTTAAGTGCTTTGATGGCCCAGAGATATTGAAACATCTTCTTTTGTTTAAGCATTTACACTATTTAATAGGTGTGCTTATATGCTGCCCATAATTTCTGAGCATTGTGGAGTATGTTTTTAGATTATTGATAACTATTAAATTTCGTTTCTTTATTTAATTTAGGAACCCTTGCGGAGAAAGCATTGCTTGCTGTTTTACCTCCTGAAGATGATTTCCCATATACTGTTCGTGTCAATTCTGAGGTCATGGCTTCTGATGGCTCCACCTCAATGGCAACTGTCTGTGGAGGTATCCTGTTAAATTGCTCTCTTGAGAGCTTCCATCAGATGTTCAACGTTTCATTGTTATGTATTTGCTTATTTATCTTTGTTATTAAATAGATTCGTTCTGTTTGCTCTTCCATTGGTTGTTAAAATTTTATGGTGGGATCTCTAAGAATTATAACATGGATGATGTGATTTCTCTAGTGATTCACTGAAGAGAATATGGGATAATGTGCATGTTTTCGTCGGTGGCCAATAAAACAAATATTTTTGTCAGTGCTGAGAAATGATTTATGCAAAATGTCAGGTTGCTGAGATATTTTCTAGGGCTCTTATCACTGGATGACTTTAGATATATCATACACCTGTTTTTTTGGTTTCAATTCTAGTTGTGCTTCTGTTTTCCTGATCATTTATTGATGTAAATATTTGAGATGCGGAAATTTGGCTTACCGTTTTCTATTATGTCCTTTGTAGGGAGTATGGCTTTGATGGATGCTGGTATTCCATTACGAGAACATGTTGCAGGCGTTTCAGTGGGTCTTGTTAGTGAGGTTGACCCATCTACTGGTGAGATTAAGGATTATCGTATACTAACGGATATTTTGGTAAGTCTTTTCTGAGCTAGTTTGAATTAATGCTGAAAAGAAAACCCAATTTAAACCTTTGTCTGCATAGGCTGTTACAACAAAAACAAGTGCATCTACCAGACTCTTCCAATCAAGAATTAGCATCCGTTTAACTTCAGCACCAAAAGCCACTCAAATGTTGCCTGACCTGGGCAATCCAAGATGTGTTTGAGAGGGCATATTGAAATTAGAGAGGCGTACCTATTCATCACTGAAAGTGAAATATGACAAGATTGACAATAAAAACCTCCAAAATCCAAAGAATGACTGGCAAATAACAGTAACCAAAAGCCTCTTCAGTCATTCAAAGCATGTTCTTTACCCCCTAGAAGTATTTCCCTTACTGTTACTAACTCTTCCAGTTAGGATCTCGAGGGAAAACTATCTATATTGTGAGATTCATCCATCTTAGCTGAAGGTTAGACTCTTCTGTTGAAGACAATGGATGAACAAAATTTTCTGCTATCAAGTATGTATGTTATTGGTGTTAGAATAGAAGTTTCAAGACATTTATACTGAACACTGTTATTTTTGTTTTTTCTATTTGAAATTTTAAAACCATCTTTTGTATGGAGAAACATTTGAAACTATGTTAACTGGACAAGTCAAGCTCATCACTGAACAAGGTTATAGACGTGGAATTTATTCTAAAAAATTGGGATGTCCAACATGGCACTGAAAAAAAACACGACACTCATGTAAAGGTATCCGGGTAGCTTAGTTTGCAACACACACTAGGCATAAAATTGGTCCTAAGTTTTGAGTCATGCTTTTTTGTTTCCAATGAGCTTGTAAATGATATGTCTTGTAATTCCTGTTATTAGATGCTATGTGACTTTTTGCATATGAATTCTATAGGGTCTGGAAGATCATCTGGGAGACATGGACTTCAAAATTGCAGGCACAAGGAAAGGAATAACAGCAATTCAGTTGGATATTAAACCTGCTGGAATACCCTTGGATATCATCTGTGAGAGCTTAGAAGCTGCACGCAAGGGACGCCTTCAAATCCTTGAACACATGGAGCGAGAAATAAATGCACCCCGTACTCAAGATGATAGGAACTCTCCCAGATTAGGTTGAAAGCTTCCATTTCATTGAAATTTGAAATTGGTACTGATGTGTATTAGATGGAACAGCAACTAGGGTGGGCCAACTCAAGCCTGAGCTTTTGCACTGGCTGGGCTTAGATTTCAGGCTCTGGACTGGGCTTGGAAAATTGGGTGTGATCTCAACCTGAGGGTTGGGCTTGGGTTGAGGAATTCGGTAGGCTACTATGACCAAGCCTGGCACCATGCCAACCTGAACCTGCTTGACCTTCTATAATAGATTTATCTAATCGACATCTAAATTGTGTATCAAAGCCAAGCATGTATGTGTAAATCATATATTTACACTATTATGTACACTGTAGAGTACTCATGCACACACATGTGCAAACACATGCGCATGTTATGCATGCTATGTGTATTCTTATATCTTTTTTTGTGACTATACATAATACATGTATACGAGTTCCTGTGTTATGTAATGATATTTATATTAGTTTTTGTTTTTATTTTTCTGATTTGGAGTATAAAGTCCCAAATGAAAGGTAGAGGTGCACAACACAAGTGAGAAAACTTTCAAATCCAATCAACCTGCTCAGGTCTGAGCCCAATCTAAGCTATATTGTGCTTAGCTTAGCATGGGCTTTGGTTGTCTGACTTGGTCTTTTATCTTGGGTTGGGCCTGATCCAGGTCTTAGGGTTGGGCCTGTATTCAATGTTAAACCTTACCCAACCTGCCCAAGTTGCACTCCTAGGGTTGGCGCTCTAAGTTTGCACTTTGATTGACATATTGACAATATCTATTCTTCTGCAGCTACACTGAAGTTCAGCAATGATTCAATCCGGCGCTTTCTTGGGCCTCAAGGTGTTCAAAAGAGAAAGATTGAACAAGAAACAGGTCTACTATAAACTTGATCAGGCTTCTTATATGTTTCCAAAATTCTGAAACAATTCAAAAGAGTTCCAAACTGCTTATTGAACTTCAAAAGGCATTGGTTTTTGGGTCAGTGGTCGCAATGATGTGCTGAGTGTACTTGCTCATTGACCCTTGTATATAGGAAATCCTAAAGGCATAAAAATAGGAAAACGGAAAAAGAAAAACAGGGCAGACTGTTTTGCTTTGATTTCTCAGTTTGTTTTGTATTTGGGTGATGACTTGTCAACCTTCAAATTGTAAACCTCGTTTGCTTTAATAAAAAAATTTCTTCACTTATAAAAAAAAAGCAGGGCAGACTGTATAATAAAAAAGAAAAAGTAGTAGTGGAGAAGGGGTTTGGTGGAAGATGCCAGTCTAAGTTGATGGATGCCTGGCATGTCTGTATGTAATTCATTCTTTGTTCTTTTTCATATTGAAAAAAAGTTATCCATCAAAAATAAAATAAGGAAAATGGGGAAGACTGTACTTATCATGAAACTATGTGTAGCTATGCAAACAGAGAAGGAAAACAAGGAAAAAAGGGAGGAGGTATGACTAAGGGGCTGTTTGATAATTGCTGATCTGGTTGAACTGAATTGCTATTTTCTTGTCTTTTAGTGGACAAAATATTCATATGTAGGGGTAAAGTAGTCATGCTGACATGCCTTTCAGCTCAACCTACCTAGTGTTATAAGGAAGCAAATGTCCCCCTAATCCTATCTAAAAGAGGAAAGAAAACTAAGCAATTGAACAAGAAAGCTTCAGGGAAACTGTCAAAAAAATACCAAGAGATTGCTAATAATGATATTTTTTATGGGTTTCTTCATTTGCATCTCTGTTCTATATTGGAACTTCTTAAAGGTCTCAAGGTTTTGGTTCTTGATACCTATGTTCTAAATTGCTCCAATGACGAGCAACACCTTTTCATTGTCATCTTCTTTCTGTCTTCAGGTATATTCATGTCATTACTATTGATTAACCCATTCACACAATTAAAGCTCTCAATCCAGTAGAGCACTCATTAGAAGGCTTACTTGTTCTGGTGGTTCAGCTGTCCATTCCAGTCACGGCCTCTTAACATTTGTTCAAGGATCTCCAAGGCAGATTGCAGCAGCTTTTTTTTTTTTTTGGTGCATCTGGCAGGAGAGAAATGCAAGTTTATTCAAGAACAAAAGTAGTGGCTCTACCAGCACGGTGTATCAGAAAATTTTGACAAAAAATCTCTTGGCTTGCTAGTTGCTATGAACAGTGTGTTTAAGGATAGAAATTATAATTCTTTTTTGTTTATGATAACCTTTTTGTAAAGCAGGGTTTAGGGGTATAAGATTGCATTGTCAGTGTTAGTAAATCCCTGTGTACATCAACTTGTTGTACATGCTCTTTGTCTATTTAATGATACTATATTATATCTTGGAGAGTTTTCACCTGTATGTTGATTGTGATTTTTGATAGCTTCCAATCCTTTTGATCTATAAAATTTCTTGTTATTTCTTTTAATCTTGTCATTACTGACATATGTATGTTAATGCTTCTTAATACAGTTTATTGTGCTTTTCTTGTGTATTTTGTAAAATAGAATGGTTCTTTGTTTTTTATCATGAATATATGTCTGATTTAGTTTTTCATTTATCATGTCTTTAGCACCTGCTTTCATATCAAGTACTGTATGTTAGACTTTTACCTCATGGTGGCACTGTCAGACAAAACCACTTTAAATGCTTGCTACATGCAAACATTTATTGAATGCCTACATAAGTATATTATTCAAGTTTATTCTCATGTAATTATGTATGCATGTTCTTTAGTCATAGCTACAACTTCCTGATTGCGCGCAATTGGGTGAAGAATCAACATGCTGAATTGCTGATGCGGTTTTATATTTATAGGTCAATGCAATGATTGAGTTATTTTATTTACCACTTTTGCGGCTCCTTTAATGTATGCTTTTCGAATTTAGGTGCAAAGATTTCTGTGAGTGATGGAACACTAACCATACTTGCTAAGAATCAAGCTGTCATGGAAAAGGCACAAGAAAAGGTATTTTAGTATTTATTTATTTTATTTTCAGAAAAATTATCTAAATTTTGTTTAATTTTTCCTAAATGAAACTAAAAAATAACATCCATTTAAAAATATCAATAGTAATTCTGCGTTTCTTTTGGACACTACTTATTTTCTTCTTTTCCTCAATTTTTTGTAGCTTTGTTCCTTTATAAATATATTAATTATTGATTAGAAAAGTATCCATGCTGAATATTGATAAAAAAATCTCCATGCTGAATTTATTCATTTGTTCTTATTCTGGTAATACATATTGACAATTGATGATTGTACTAGTGAGGAGTGAATTCGTATACATAATTTCCCAATGAGGCTTAGTTAACTCATTTTAGTTAAGAATTATACTGTTAGCCGATTCCACTGGTTTGGACAACTAAGAATGCTGTGTATGAAAAAGGTGTTGCAAAGAAGGATCTTGAGATTGATGAATAGAGAAAAACCATGAGATTTTTGATGCTTATAGTATTTTAAAGTCAACCTTAGCCATGCCTAGGCTCACAGGTGATACTAATTTTGTGCAGTGTTTTCAAACTACTGTTAACCCAGACAATCAGGCTGTTTAACCTGCCACTTGGCAAAAATTCCTGGTTCTGGGTTTTGCTCAAACCTACTAGAAGCCCAAAAGCTATTGGCTTTGCCAAAAAATCGCTGACCCAGGCTGGGCTAAATGCCAAGAATTCAACACCAGAGCTGGGCTAAATGTTCATTATGATCATGTTTTTAGAGAAGCCAACACTTCAGCAGACTGGCTTGCTGACCTTGGTCATGAGGGTAGGGAAGAAGTTTCTAGTTTGTTGAGCTGGTTTTTTGATTACATCTATTTCTGTGATTTCTGGGGAAGGGCTACTCCCCAGTTTGTGTAGCCTGATTTTTGCCCATCTTACCAAAAAATGATCGCTGAACCAGACTGTTAACGAATTGGTCAACCCAGCCAATGTGTCAAACAGAGCAATCCCTTTCTTAATCCCTCCAAGAAAGTTCTTGTGAATGTAAATGAGAAGGGTGGGGCTGGTGGGCCCATTTTGGCATGCTTGGCACTCATTTTGTATATACCATATTCTCTATTCATATTCATAAAAGTCACAATGATAGTAGCGGAAAAAAATACTTAAATAGGTAATTTACTATATTGTAGGTTGTAACTATGGTTGTTAACTTAAACAGTTTAGCCTATGTAGAACTTGTGCCTACATGACTGCAACCTTTGTGTTGATAAAAGATGCTCTAACGAGTTGATCCAACAGAGTTTTATTTCTTTTAGAATTAAATTTGCATATTGTGTATATTCTATTTATTTCTTTTCATAGGTGTCACTTCTCTTCGTTTATACATATTGCCTTGTTCATCATTCGTTAGGCTCTAGTAATCCCCTATGCTTTGGCAGTACTGTAACTTTTAAAACACTAGATGAAGATTTGATGAACATCACATGTTTGGTGGTACTTGGTAGCAACTGTAGTATGCTCAATATTCTGTTCTTGTCAAAAGAAGAATATGCAAGTGGAAGCTACAATAAGAGCATGGCATGAGATCTCTAGGTGTGCTGCTATAAGATAGATTTGAGTGTGAACATGGTACTCTTCATCCCAAGTAGCAAGTAGTTCAAATTTTGATGATGTTCTTTGAGAAATACAGGGAATTCAGGTATAGATGGAACTTTTGGAGATTCATAAGTTGTATCAGATGAACAAATTCTTGTTGTCTTCTTCTGCAAAGAAGGAAAGAAACTAAGAAAGAAGGAAAACAGATATATTAATGGTGGAGATGAATAATTTTGGCAGGTGATGTGAGACATTCTTTTGGAGAAGGGCTAGGGGTAGAGTAAAAAGCATATGGGTAGAAGTAGTAAGAATGGACATGACATTAAACAGAATGGAATGGTGAAACAAGATTCATGTGGCCGACCCCTTATAGTTCGAACAATGCTTGGATGATGATGATGACATTCCATTGGAGAAGTTTGAGATCTTGCATATCTGGTGGATATCTCAATTCACTTGGATCAGAAGTTTCAGCAAATACATCAACTGAAAGTTTTAGTGTGGCCTCGAGGGGGCACCCATTCATTACTCAACATGATGGATTAAGGGTCTAGTGTACATTTAAGGGTTTCTTTTTTATTTCTTTTTCTTTTTTATGAGAGGAAGGAGGACCTTTAGACTAGGTACTGGTATACATGTATGTCTGGCCACTTTTTTTGTCAACTTTTTCTTTTTTACATAACATTTCTTGTTTTCATTTTTATTTATCATTTGTAAAGAGTTAATGTTACTGATATAAAGAAGAGAGAAAACAATAGGTTCATAAAACTGATGTTAACAATGCAATGAAGTGATGATTAGTCATTTGTCTCTAGTCAATGCAACGACTAATTGGTATTTGGTGCCTAGGTGCTGACTAGTTGATGAAAAAAATATGTTCTAAATTTAAGATATTGATGCAATCTCATAAATAAGTTGTTTCGGACTACAATTATGCAATAAAAGAATGATATCAAACATTTATTTTATGGTCTTTTTTCGCAAACATAAGAAAGCTAGATTGGATAGGCTAGGATAAAGAATTACAATTTTTGTTTTCCAAAGAAAGACTGCAACCATAACTATTCAATGAGCCCTTTGTTTGTGGCAATTTTGTACCCGCACACCATTGATAGAAAGAAAACTTGAAAGAAGTCTTCCATTGCCTTCTTTTATTTTATGTCTTTCTCTATTTTATATCCCATTGGCCAATCATGTTCCAGCAGAAATACTCACAAATGTATAAGGCAACAGCATGGATATACCAAAGTATAAGCATATTCTATATTATTTAAAATATTGCCTGTGGTTATCAGGTTGATCAGTTGACCTAGTTGATGCTTAGTTGTGCTAAGTGACCAAGTCATGAGTATTGACCTGTTAGTTTGTGATGTAGTTAGTCTGTCCCTAAACTGACTAGTAGGTTGATTGTTTGATGACTAGTTTACGCTTTGATAACACTGAATGAAACCAGAAATGAGTGCATGCTAAGGAATCTAGGGTATCTTAAGCTGACTATAGAAAATGATGAGGATGGCTTAGATGTTAGGGTTATTTGCAAACAAGAAACTAATGAACATGCGTTAGAACTTAGAAATGAACTGCTGCAAGTAGAATTCTTAGGACAAAGGGGAAGGGCCAAAGCAACATTATGGAAGTTGCTGGATATTTCATGGTGTTTGCATCATGTTCTGTGTCTTTGGTAGCATTTTATTTCGATACTTCGAGATGGTATACTCTATTGTGTAGCATTATACTGTCTTTGAATACTCTGGTAGTATGCCCTTGATAACATTTATCAGTGCTTTTCAAGGAATATAATTATAGATAGGTTTTCAAGGAATATAGTTGCATCTTATTTTTCGTTATTTAAGTGATAATTTATATGAACATTTCTTGCTCAGATTGATTTTATCATTGGACGTGAGATTGAAGTCGGAGGAATTTACAAAGGTGTTGTGTCCTCCATCAAAGAATATGGTGCTTTTGTGGAGTTTAATGGTGGCCAACAAGGGCTCTTGCATATCTCTGAATTGTCACATGAGCAGGCATGTAAATCAGGTGCTCCTTTTAGGAGCAGATACCCGTTGCTTCTTTTCACAAATTTGTTTTCTTGGATATTTATTATTGCATTCATTAAGTTATGACAGGAGAATAGTGGATTTGTAGTGTCATTTTTTGCCATTTCGGTGGATTGTGGAATGGAAGATGTTCTCTGTAGTTTGATTTTCTATTCATTCCATCTTTCAGTTCTGTGTTTCCACTTCCACCCCTGAATACAAACACAGCGAAGGGAAGAGGTGGCACTTTGCTGAATTCTTTGCATATATAGCTATCCATGTTTGGACCATGCCAATATGTGGACTGCTTCCTCAGGTGGATGCTGGTTCTTAAATAAGGACTGCTTCCTCAAGTGGGTGTTGGCTCTTAAATATTCTGGCATTCTACACTCGCCTCCTTAAGCCAAAATGTGGCAAAAAAGAAGCATCACTGAAGGATTATTTGTTTTTCTGTTAAGCCACTTCATCTACCATAAGATAATAATTCCGTGATAGGAGAAGGAAAGAATAAGCTACCCCCAATGGAGGTTGTGAACTTTCTGAATGGGAAAAGGTGGTTTCCTGCTCTCTTCATTTCTGAAGAAAGAACAAAAAAGGTTCAAATGTCAAGCACCTGTTGAGTGAAGCAGTACAAATTAGAAAAAACATCTTGGCTGTCACAGGTGCATCTGAAATCTGATAGCATGGGAGATTCTTTGACCATCCAATCTCTAACATTTTTATAGTATTACTGAACTGAGTGTGCCTGATAGTCCCAAATTTGGGTTTTAGAACCTGACTCATTAAGAGGTTGGAATGCCTCTTTGATTACAAGAATGCGAGGGAATCTTTTTTTCCAGTCACTGAGGTGACTCCTAAATCTCAGATAAAAAGCTGCTTTGTTGGGCAACAAAGCAGCTTCTGATCCTTGTCTTCCTGTTTTCAGCTTAATGTACAAGTCAGGGACAGGTCAAGAAGTGGCCTCTCTTGTTTCAACATGGTTTACAACAAATGTGAATATCATCCAGTTTGTATTTTATTCCTTTTATAAAAGAGATGTTTTCTATTCCTTCCTAATAGCATGTTGATGTGGCTGCTTTGTTCTTTCTTGGTTCCAAATCCCTTTTCTTTGTTCATACTTATAAGCTATTAGTTTCCTCATAACACTTCAGGCTTTGAGTTGAACTGCCACCACTCTTTCCCTACTAGAGATGTGTTGACTAGCATTAAGTGCCATATGTGCAAGCACCCATCAATTGGAACTTAGAAGAGAGCATAGCCTTTTCCATAGTGATGGGATGATCCTTGATTCATCCTTCCATCCCTTTTCCAAGAGGTTTCTCTGTAGCTCTTCTATATGCAACTGGCCCAATATAGTTGGGATAAGGCTTGGATGATATACACATACACTTACACATATGTTAGTTTGAGATATTGCATCTTAATAACAATACTTCTAAGTGATTCTTCATATTCATTGTGCTTGTTTATGCATTCAAGTTGTCTTTTGACAATTTTGTTATGATGACAAATACCTTCTTTCAGATGATAATATAAACTTCTTACAAATTTCATTTCTATTGTCTTTTCTTCAGGTCTCTCGTGTTTCTGATGTAGTATCTGTAGGCCAACAGCTGTCACTTATGTGCATTGGGCAGGATGTGCGGGGTAATATTAAATTATCTCTTAAAGCCATTAAACCCCAACCTGAATCTGATATGAAGACTTCCCCCAAGGAATCTGCCCCCTCTTCAAAGCAAACATCTAATGTTTGGGCACCATTAGAAGGCATGCCTAGCTGCCAAGAAATCCAGAATTCTACTGCAGAAGAGATTCCGGTCAACAAAGATGAGATTAGAGAAGAAAATTGCACCTCTCTCTCTCCACCATCAATTCTAATTAGGAGTGCAGCAGATTGTGATGAAGAGGAAAGATCTGGGTTTAATCAGAAATTCCCCCTGAAAAATGGGATGACTACTTCTAGACTCGTAAGTAATTTGGAAAAGGATCATCAGTCAAAACCATTTCCACCTCTCCAAAATGGCAAATCACCTGTTTCACTTTTCTCTAGTCTTTTTTCCCAAAGAAACGTCAAGTCAGAACATGCCAAACAAAAACAGGCAGGGACAGAGTCTGATCGTACTCATGCACCAGTGCAAAAAAATGTATCTAAGGAGGCTGTTGACACTGCTCGTAAGACAGCAAAAACAATAAAGCTCAGTGACAAATTTACTGCCAAGGTTTATCAGATACGTGTCCATGGGTTAGTCCTTGACTTGGGTGGTGGAATCCGTGGAATGTATAAATTTGAGGTATGCATTATCTGACCATGTAATCTTATTAAAAAAACTTTTCTTGCTATAGTTTTGCACGGGAGGATGAACTTGCTAATTGGGTTGTTTAGATAAGAAATCTAGATGTCCTGCTCATCTTCACATAGCAAATTGCTATGGGACCTGATAAGGCACGAGTTTCTTTCGTCCATTTATACCTGGAAAAAGTTTCAGTGCATAAATATGTGGCTTTGGTGCTCCTGGATATTCATTTTCTTAATATCTGTGGGGCTGAAATGTTAGTTTACATTTTCAAGTTAATGCCTTCCAATTCCTTGTGTGTGTGTTCTTTGCATGATCAGAACTTCTGTTTCTCACAGCTAATGAATGCAGGAAAATGGCAAGAAGAATTACAAGGTTGGTGAGGAATTGCGAGTTCAGTGTTCAAGTTTCTCTACAAAGGGAATTCCAGTGATGTCTTTATTGGTAGATGAATAATAGACCTTTTGAAATTTGAATATTGCTTCATGGATGGTATTCGACAAGAGAAAACCAGTGGATAAGAGCCTCATGGTTTGCTGAGTTGCCAATCGGTGGCAGAAATTTTGCAGATAATTGGCGGAGTTCAAGCTTGTACATATTCATAGATCTTCATCAAATAAATTGGGGTTTTGTTAGTTTCTCTTTCCCCTGTTCTTTGAAGAAAATATATCTTGATACAGTTGGTAGCTTTGCTAGATTTTCTAGCTCCTTATTCTCAAAAATATTTTTCTAGCAAGTTTGAAACGGCAAGGAACTTGTTTGCCTTGCTCGGTTGTCATGTAGGTTTGTTGTACATTTTGCTTCTAATTGATAATTAATGAATTATCAATGAGTCTTTGGCTTGGGGGTGCAGTTTCCTTCCATTACTTTACACAATCGTTTCAGTGTTTATTTTGGATTCAACTTGTAAGAGTGATAACGGTATTTTCTTGAACCTTTGGGAATTTGGTGTTAGCCATTTACCCTAACATTTGTTATGTGATGCTATAAATGTTTTTTTTTTTCGAATGGATTTTCCAACTGGATACAGTACTGATCTTAGGCCCCAAAATGCCATTCATTCATTTTTTTTGTGGTCTATCAACATGGACAAATGAACTGCGTCACTGGAATCATACTTCACAGTTCTAAGGAGCTTTAGACCCCCCAAGTACAAATTTAACTAAATATTTGAATGTTCAAGGTTTTTGACCTTTTTTCCCATTTGTTCCAGTTAAGTGTTTCCTGGGTATGTGTGGCCGCCTTACTGCTTGGGAGAAGCTGTAGCTGCGATTGGGCTTTACTGGGCAAATGGCAAGATTTAATTGAAAGTAAATTCGGCTTTGAAACTTTGCAATCATTCTTGTCAATTATCTGTTGTCTTAGATTCGGTCTATTTATGAAACCTCATGTATGTTTAAGCCTTTTACCAGTTAAATTATCAGTTGCGATGATATATATCATATTCTGGGATTCTAGTGTGCGCCTATTGCGCCAAATTGTCTTACAGATGGGCACAATCCAACTAACTTTTGGCATTTTAGATTATGTGCGCCTGCTAGCAGATCTCAGCAGAGTTCTGCCCGAAGTAGAACTCTTGCAACCAAGGTTCAAAATATCGAGTATCGGGCGTTTCGATACTTGGTTTTTTATTTTTATTTTTTAATTTTTTTTTCAAAACTGATTCAGGGGAGACGGTATAGGACCCCTCCATCCCCTGAGCCGGTCAGACCCCCCGATACTCCCACTGTAGTGGCGTATTGGAAGGGTCCCAGAACGATACGTAACGATACTTTGAACCTTGCTTGCAACTGCTCAAACCAAGAATAGCTAAATTAGCTATACATAACTACGGCTGAAAATAGTATCTATGTATCAAAATTCAAATTTAAATTTTATCCAGTTAAGGGTGAATTGGGATTTGCTCCTCAGAGCGCACCTTGCACCAACCTCACAGAAGATCTCACGGTGTATTGGGAACATCTCTGATCTCCACATGAATAACAATACAAGCATGAGAGATGTTCCCGGTTAGGACATTTAGGTTTGCACTGGGGGGACTCTGAGGAGCAGATCCAGGCTCGTTAAGGGTGATCAGAATTTGTTTTCTTTATAACTGCATAGCATATAGATCTATCCCTGTTCCATTGCTGCTAGAAAGACATAATATGGAAAGGGCATGCCGGCATGGTTTTGAAAATCGAACTGGATGGACTGGTTGACTTAGGAACCGGTTCTGTTTCACCCTAAAACTGTTATTGGGAGAAAATCTGTTGAATTGGTCAGCAACCAGCAGACGGGGGTGGTTGACCCGTTGACCCGGATAATGATTTTGGCCATTTTTATTTTAATTATTTTTTAAATCAGAGTAGGCCACCCATTTGAGAGACGGTCAGACCATTTGACCCAGAAACCAGTGCCCAGAACGGTTCTATATCCGGTCCGAATTTTAAAACCTTTCTAAAGGATTTTGACCATTCAAAAAGTCTTCATGAATTTTGTTAGATTTTACCTGATTGGTTACCACTTTTATGATATTGGTTGATTGGTTACAAGTATTTTTCGGTGTCATAGTCAAACTCTATATACACTTGGTTATACCTAAAATTTATGTTCTATGTATTAGTAATTGATTTGGATGTTTGTATCGTTTTGGCAAGTAATTGATTTGAATGCCATATTTATGGTGAAGAGTCCTAGGTTCAAATTTTACAGAAGGTCATTTACTAAAACACGCCTATAATTTTGTGGATATACTAAAACACCCCTATAGTTACAATTAATTTACTTAATTGACCTTGCATTAGACAAAAGTGGAAAATGATGTTTTTGATTGTAATACCCATTCGAGTAAGTTTAATCTGTACCATTTAGAAAAATGAGAATGGTAACAATTGTTTTGTAAAAAAATCTGATTTTACTTTCCCTTTTTACCCTATCTTATTTATTTTTTCAGTATTTAACTATCATGAGGCCGTATACTGTCCATCAAAGATTTTCCAATGGTAAAAAAAAAGGAGAATGCAAACTGTTAACATGGTTGTAGATCCCATAACCAATAATTTATCATTATTTATGTTTTTGCTAAAATCATATATCAATCAATTATTCTAATAAATTCATCCTGATATTTAGAATAAAAATAAAAAATGCATGAACCTCACTTAGGAATAACATAGTGCATGTGAAATCATCTAAATACCAAGACTTGAAAAGAATACAAAAGACACCTCTTATTGAATTAATATTAATTTTAGTTAGATAATAAGAATCCTATTATGGGCTTAATATTAATTTAGGTTTTGTTTGGATACTTTTTTTAGCTATGGGTGAAAGATAACATTAGACTCAATAAGAAAGATTCAATTATATATTATAGCCATGTTATGGTTTTCTTGAAAGGGGTTTCACATTCAATGGACCATAAGAAATATATCTTCTCCAAAGAAGAAAACATAATTAAAATTATATGAATGTTTAATTTTTGATCAAAAGCGAAATATAGAAAAGAAAAGCAAGGACTTCTTAAGGGAAGAAACTTTCATATGCTTTTGGAAGAAAATAAAATAATTTAAAAATCTTAAAAACATGACCTATCCCTCTCCTTCTCTTTACCATGGTAGCAGAATCGTGTCGATGAAGCGGAAGATAACCAACAACTAAGAAGACAAAGGCGAATAGTGTGGCTGGATGGTTTTGGAGCAAAAAGCAAGATTAAATTTTGGTATGTTGTTTAGTTAGCAAAAAGAATAAAAGCTCTCATATGTTTTATGATCCATTGTTAAAAATATAAAATCATTTTATTAAACTGGTGATATCCTAGAAGATGAATACTATGCCTAACCAGTGGTATAAATTGGAAAGACATACCCCATTTCATCACCTAAACCCAAAAGGTCTAAGTTATAATCTGTTAGGAGCATTCACCATTAACATGTTGGTCTTGAAGATAGAAACAAACTAATCAAAGGCATTTTCGCTTGAGTGAGGGAAAGAGATAAACAGGGAAGTGAATTTGAAAGTGAAGATCATAACTAATTTTTGCAGGGAGAGGAATGATGATGAGGGTTTTGATGAAGAGGACAAAAGATATTCCGAAGACCATAGCTACTACAATTCAATAGCATAGGCATTGTATTAACTATTAAGGTTGGATTTTTTTTTTTTCAACTTGACATATAAATTTATTACATATTTATAAGTCGAATACTGAGAAAGTGAACTCCCATAACAATAGTCCACGTTAAAAATGGTTAAGTAGAATAAAGAACTGTTTTTGCCCTCTAATAGTATCAACTTAAATATAGATGGGGGAAGAAAGTTTTCATGAGGTTAAAAGTTCCATAATGCCCCAATCAAATGTAAAAATATTATATTTATTAAAAAAGTCAAAAGATTATTATACTATAGTGTCTCCATCTTGTTACCAACACCATTGATTAAAAGTTTTTATTCCCTTTTTCTTTTTGTTTTTTTTTTCTTATGTTTCCTGGGGATACACAAGTGGGGGTAGTCCATCTCTCATCCCCTTAACCCCCAACCCTAGTGGCAGTGGGATATGATCATCAACAAGTGAGACAATTGACAAGGTATAGGATGCCAAATGCCACAATGGGTTTGGATTAGATTGTAGCTACTAAAGACCTAAATCCAAGTCCTTCCCAAGTTGAGGTCAATACCATATTTTCATCCCAAATTAGATTTTTGTTATCATACTTGATTTTCATTAGTGAATTTAATTATATTTTTACTTATTGATTTTTGCATTTATTTTCACCCGTGCATCACACGGGCTTCTCAACTAGTATAAAAAAAGGGAAATGTTATTCTTGCCCCTAGTAAAACGCATGCAACCACTCTTTTTTTTTTTTTTCTTTGAAAAAGAAGTGCAATGGATACTTTCAAAATAAACATGCCCTTAAAAATTTTCAACTTGGCTTAAATGGTTACTTGACCATTTTTAAATGACAGTACAAATAATTCTTAAATAAAATAAAATGGTTGCAAAATATAAGGAATGTTTTAATAATATAAGATCCATTTTAAATTCAATAAGAATAAAGTTGGAATCTGATATACATCCTACATATAGACTTTGAAGAATCAAATTTGGACTTAAAGCATACATTGGTCAACGAAATTCAAATGTTTACCATGATTCTAAAGAGAAAAACTGAAAAAACAATTCTTAAGACTCGAGGAGTCAACGTATAGGCGGAGCACAAAAATGAATCCAGATTATCTATACGAGCCGGATTCTGAGATTACACCACAACAACATATATAGAGCGCGCAGAAGTGGTTTGTATATAGATAGGATAAATAAACACCACGAGTACGTAGACTAAAATAAAACAAAAATATAATCAATGACAGAAAAAACAAAAGGAAAGCTGAGAAACGATAGTCTCCATTTCTTCTCCTTTCCTTCTCTCTCTCTCTCTCTCTCTCTCTCTCTCTCTATGATGTTCTGTGTTATGGTCTCCTGCAATGGAAAATCGCCGGGTCTACATCGTCCTCTTGGTATGGCTGTTGGTGCAGGTAACGGAGGCAAGCCCACGGACTGATATTGTGGCGAGAATATGCGGGAAAAAACATGCAAAGAATTCTAAGGTTTACATTAAGAACTTCTCAAAGGTTACACGTATGATTAGAGATGACATCCGTGACAACGGTTATGCGACAGCGTCTACAGGGCATCCTCCCAACCAGCTCCACCTCATGGCTCAGTGCTTTTATGATCTCTCCACCGATGACTGCCTTCTCTGCTTCGATCGATGCCTCGCCCTCCTCCCTGGATGCTTTCCCAAAGTCTCCGGCCGTATTTACCTTGACGGTTGTTTCATGAGAGTTGACAATTATACCTTCTACAACGAGACCCTCCTATCTTCAGACAAAACCGTAATTTTTCCTTTTCCTTGACGGTTGTTTCTCATTCATTAACGACGCCGACGATGATGAGTTTATTATTGATTATTGAATAAAAAAACAGGTATGCGGGGCAGTGGATATGGATACAGCACCGGATTTTATATCCATAACGCAGCGGGTGATCAGAAATGTGGCGTCGGAAGCGCCGAGCAACGATGGGTTTGCCGGAGGTGGATACGATGGATCACCCCTCTGTTCCTCATACGCATATGCAAATTGCTGGAATACGCTGGACGAGGAGTCGTGTAAGTCTTGCCTGAGAAACGCCTCGGATTCCATTCTCAATTGCCTGCCGTCGACGGAAGGCCGTGTGGCTAATGCCGGCTGCTTCTTAAGATACTCCAACTACCGTTTCTTCAACGACCCACAGTACTGGTATTTCCCCTTCCTACACGGTAATTACCAAAACCTCCTCCTCCCTCTCAACCCTCAAATTCTGATCTGATTCGGGACTCGGGAGTCATCAAATTATTCATCTACAAATTTTAATACAATTCCCCTTCTAATCCTTTGTAGACCAGACCTATCCCTTTTTGCATTCAGCACCATCACTGCTGCTACTGCCGTCATCTGCGTCATAACTGTCCTCATCGGCCTCTGCATGGGTAAAATCGTCTACAAAGTCGTACATAGGCATAAATCTCTTAAAGGTATCTTTTTTCAAGCATGTTTAACTTCAGATTTCTGATTGCATCCCATTTGATTTATTAATACTGGTATGAATTATGATCGCATTTAAAGATACTTCCGATGACTGACCAACACACCCACCCCCGTCGTTTGAAATGAAGCCGATCGGATCGGATTCCAATATCCGATACTGTTTATGTCCAATCCGATCCGATTCGAAAATATAGTCGTATCTGATAACACTCAACTTGAATTCGAATCTTATGGATAAATTGTTGGATCTTCGGATTTGATCTTATTTTCTTTAAAACTTAATAAATTATTAAAAAAATAAAACATATTAATTTAAATAAAGCAAAAACAAAAAAAAATACAAGTATTCTTAATTATTTTCATCATAAATATATATATATATATATATATATATATGTTTTTTATAAAACATAAATAATATAATAAATTTATAAAAATATAATATAAAAAATATATTTATAAATAAATAAATAATGTATATATATGTATGTATATGTATTATATACATTTATATTTATAAATATATAATTTATATCAGATCAGATCTTCTTGGATAGGATAGGGGATGACATGAATCCGATCTAACTTCAGATGGAATCCTATGTGATCCAAATTCCACCATTCGACCAAATAAGATTGGATTGGATCTATTTGCATCCCTATGATCAAGTTAAGGCATAAGTGTGCAACTTAAATTGGATTGGGTTTGGAAATTTTTAAATTTTCAATGAACCCAAACCCTAAACCCTAAACCCTAAATTTTCAAGTTGGGCCAATTGAATTGCAACCCTAATTTAAGCTGGTGTGTTTTGCTATTCATTGGGTACCTCATGCAACCACGGTGGCAGCAGATTTCCTCTCCTTTTTAGAAAGAATGAAATTGTGGCTGTAGGTTTGGTTTATGATTGGTTTTGTGTGTTGTTGTTTTGTTATAAAGAAGTGGACATAGAGTCTTCAATGTTGACGAAGAGCTCCACTTTTAAGTACTCGACATTGGAGAAGGCCTCAGACAACTTCAGTGAAGCTAACAAGCTTGGTTTTGGAGCATATGGCGACGTATTCAAGGTAAAAAGCCTCCTTAATTAATCAATTTTTTTGGTTCCAAACACATCTTAAGTAATAGTGGTAATTAGTGTTTATAAGCTGTAATGTGTTTTTGTCCCTTCCCTTTGCATGCAGCAGGGAACATTGGCAGATGGTCGGGAAATTGCGATAAAGAGGCTGCATATAAGCCATAAGCATCAAATGAAAGAAATCCAAAACGAGATGAAGATCATAACTGGTGTCCAGCACAAGAATTTGGCTCGTTTCCTAGGCTGTTGCCTCACTACCCAACTTAGCCTTCTTATTTATGAATTTGCCCCTAACAAAAGCCTCGATTATCTTCTATTTGGTAAGCGGCCTCATTACACACACTTTAGTTGATCATTAGTCCAAATTACTCACCTTAACAAACAAATGGACCCTACATACCATATATGTAGGGCTGCATCATGGACCTCAATCCTAACTTGACCCCAATATTGTTGAATCATGAATGAAAATATTTCAATTCGAACTACAATTTTAGGGGTGTTTGCTAATGTATGATAAAAAAAACCATTAATATTGTACAAGTTTGAGAGGACTTTGATGGGGCGGCTTCTAGTGTTCCAAGCTGGGCCCTATATGGAAATTTCTGAAGATGTATTTGATGAAAATCTGAAAAGCCAATATGGGTGTTTTAAATCCATCCTGATCAGGTAAACCACAGTATTGTAAGCACGTTCGATGAGCATTTGAAAATTTTTTTGACACCTGTCCCTTAAAATAACCCCAACCTACCCTTGAAAAAAAAACTTCATTAATATGTTGTGCCTACTAGATCCAATCCCGTTTCAAACACCAGAAAGCTACTTAAATGACTTATGGGGAACACTGATGGTCAACCAAAGCAACTCAGTTAATGCAGCTTGTCCCAAATGGAATTATTGACGAAAACCTCCTTCCCCTTAATTAACAATCCAAAAGCAAAAAGAAAACTGCAATCTTGTAAGGGTTGACCAAGAGTAATATGGTTAGTTTCTCAAAACAAAAGCAACTCTTGCCAAAAGCATATGAAGTTTGAAATTATTGTCCAGTTAAATGGGTATTAATGGTCCTAATTTTGAACCTCTATTGTCCATGGGAGGCAGATCCTGAGAGGAAGAAAGAATTGGACTGGCCAAAAAGGCTGAATATAATTATAGGAACAGCAGAGGGTCTAGAATACCTTCACACCAATGATGGCGTAACGATTGTTCACAGGGACATCAAGGCAAGTAATATCTTATTAGACTTGCGTTACAGACCCAAGATTGCAGATTTCGGTCTGGCCAAGTTTTGTTGCGGTGATGGAATCAACGCATGCCCTCTTATTGAAGGCACATTGTAAGTCATAACTTAATATCTGTGAGATGAGATATTCTTTCAACTTTTTTATTTTTATTTTGGGTTGGGATTAATTGTGCGTTTGCAATTGCAGAGGGTATATGGCTCCCGAGTACCTTGCTCATGGTCGTTTAACCGAGAAAGTAGATGTTTACAGCTACGGAGTTTTGGTGCTTGAAATCGTCAGCGGAGCGAGGAATGGCAGTTTCCAGGCAGATGATCCCCTGCATACTCTAGTTACCTCTGTAAATTCTCACTATCATTTCTTTTTCTTTTCTTCTCTTCTTTTACTTGCATCATTTTACATACGCTTGACCTGAAGAACCCAGATTTCCTACTCACTTCTTCTACCCGTACCTTATCAATATGGCAATCTATAGCTGCAATTCAAGGCCAATAGAGTCTATATAATGACCAGGAAATTCCGTTACAAACTTGACATACATACATAAATACATACATGCATGCTAGCTACAAGTTGGGCTGGGTTAACCATTAATTCGAAGTTTTTGGGTTCATTTGGGATCAGGTTGGCCCAACTTCTCTACCTCTTTTAACCAATCAGGTGGGTTTTCATCACATGGGGGGGTTTTGATTGGTCAAAGGCTTTGAGCCTACCGGCATTATAGATTTTTCTTATAGAAGGACATAGTTATCATATTTTATAGAAATTTTGCCTTAAATAATCAGGGTTGGGATCAGGTTGGCTCAACTTCTCTACCTCCTTTTGTCAAGTGGTAACCAACCAGGTGGATTTTCATCAAAATTATGGGGGGTTTTGATTGGTCAAAACCTTACCGGCATCATAGATTTTTCCTATAGAAGGACATAGTTAGCATGTTTTAGAGAAATTTTGCCTCATAAATAATCAGGGATGGGATCAAATTGACCCAACTTTTCTACCTCTTTTTGTCAAGTAGTAACCTATCAGGTGAATTTTCATCAAAATTCATAAGGGGGTTTTGATTGGTCAAAACCTTTCCGTCACCATAGATTTTTCTTATAGAAAGACATAGTTATCATGTTTTAAAGAAATTTTACCTTACATATAATCAGGTTTGGATTGGCCAAGACTCAATCCTAACCCAACCTGAAATTAAGTCGAATTCATAGCTTTCAATGGTAAGCCTAATCTGAACTTTAATCCAACCCAACCCAATCTTACATTTTCAAACTGGGTTTAGACTAATCCAGCCCAAATCGCAGCATTAACCTCAATGATCAGTTGATAAAACATATATGGACTATTTGTGTATTAACCAATCAACAATGTTATATATAATTTAACAGACATGGAATCACTATCAGTCGAATACGGTATGGGAAATAGTAGATGAAAGCTTGAAGGGTGAGGAGAATATAAAGGAGCAAGTGCAAAAGGTGGTTCAAGTGGGACTGTTGTGTACTCAAGAATCTCCTGCATTACGGCCTACCATGACCAAGGTAACCTGCATGCTTAAAGGGTTAGAGTTGGATATTCCTACGCCTTCCAAGCCTCCTTTTGTATATGAATTCTCCCACGTTGTAACAGTCAGCCCAGACAGTCCTCACCAATTATCTAATAATTCTTTGTCTCATTGTAATCCTCCACCTCCACCACCACTTCCTCCTCCTTCATAACAATGATGGAGATAGTAGTAATATTAGCTAGTTCAATTTTACTGTTATTCTGATTGTGCATTAGGTTCAATTTCCATAGTGTACAAGTAGAAATATGTATGGTGCAATTATAGGTTTAGTAATACAAAATATAAGGTTTTTTTGCACTCTACATATTTATATTTGTACTCTTTCCGAACTAAGCCTTGGGCGTTAGCTAAAAATGTCACCAGAGCAGTACTTGAACCAATTAAACCAATTCAAAATGGATTATGCAGATTCTTGGAAGTATTATTACATGAACATGGGCTAATGTGCCACAGAACTATGAGTTGCAATTTGGGTGATGGGATCTGTTCCTTATAAAACACGTACTCCTCATAATCACATCCCACCATATATTGGTAACATCTCCCATGAATGAATAATAACATATAAATACATGAGATGTTCCTATTATACAGTTAGAACATGTTACGAGGTTGGTGTGAAGAGCTCACAACTTGGGTGGAGAATTTGTTAATTTCCATTTGGCGAGCTCAAAACTCACACAGTACACCCATTCATTGTTGGTATAAGCATTGATGTGGATGTATACTTTCAATCATTATTAATTGCTTCTGCCATTTACAATATACAATTTTAGGAAATCATCATCATCATACAAACCTTGTTCTACCATTCTATTCATCATTATGATTATTAATTAAATTGTGGACCCTGAAATCATTTTTACCACTTATTCATATCCTTCTTGTCCTGTCCTAATTAACTTTTCTAAGCCCTTTCAGCTTATAATAGATCATGCAAAATATTAACCAGGACATCAGGGGAGACTCCTCCCATAAACATTCAAAAGAAACCTCACGGTAAAAAGTAGCAAGACGATGGACCAACACATTCACAGGCTCACAGCCCGAGGAACATGATAGAAAGGCAGATTGATGTAAACGAGGGGACCATCTGAAGTATTCTATCATGCAAAACCATTTGAATTAACCAAGAAAAGGAGCCTAAAGCACCGTTGAGCCCACGAACAACAATCAATCAGTCATGTTGTGAGACATGACTTGAATGTTAGAAGCCTGGTTCTACTTAGACCCAACCCAGACTGGACCCATTTGACAGCCGTAAGGAAAAAAAGGGAAGAGCTAAGGAGATGGCCATATCTTCACAGTTTTCAACATTTTATGCATGAAGTGAAACAATACCAACTCGTAAAAATAAGATCGGATTCAGTCGTCACAACAACGATACTCACACTGTACTCTCAGCCACTTTCAGTTGTGCTTTGAAAATATCTTCTCATGAATTAAAATATACAAACATTTGGAGATATTCTCAATATACGATTGCAAGGGGCTGTGTTTATGAGGATGGTGTGAACGGTACTGAATCCGAGTTCTGCAAAAACCTCCTCAAACCAATTCATTCACCATTATCCATGCAACCACAGTCTTAACTATCGCTGCACCATCCATGTATATGATAAAATATATCAGTTGGATCATGAATGATTTACCCAATTTGAAGCTGCCATAGAATTATAAGAGCACTGCAGCTTGTTAGCCGGCTGATTGAAATCTCCATTAATATATAGCCACCCATCATTCACTACAGTCTACAGAGAGTAAAATATGGGCGGGATCATCAACAAAATTTTGAAATTGGCATGGTTCCTGGCTTCCCTTATCTTCCATAGGAAAACAGTCAAACACAGAAACTTTCTAAAATCCTCCTCAACCCTAACTTTCACCGACAGAATAATATTATAGAGCATGCTACTCATTAACAGTCGCATAAGGCAATGCTTCTGGTCGAAGACAAAGAGGAGAGCCATAACAAATGGCCCTCGCAAGTGGACATAACCAGAATTGTAGATGCTCTGGGGTTTATAACACCAAGAATCCAAAAAAAAAAAAAAGACACTAGGCCTCAGAGGCTGAAAATACTAAATAGTAAATAACATATCCATTGTTCGAAGGAAGTCCACCTTGCAACACCTTCCATATATAAGAATAATTAATTGAACATGGGGATAATTTTGGGGTAGTGTGAAGTTAGTTTCCGGACTTTAAAATGTGTCAATGCAGTACCCAAATTTCTGAAAACTGTTAATTTAATCTAAAATTGTTAATGAACTTTAAATAACATGTGAAATGACACAAATGCCCTTTAGATATTATCTAATTTTCTTTACAATGCCTTTTGTAAAAAGGGAAATTATCCAAAACTCACCATGACTTTTTATGAATTCTCTTAAATTCACCATAACTTTTTAAAACGTCCAATACTCACCATGTCAATCAGTTTTTATTTTCCAAATCTCACCATCTGTTAGAGTATTGTTAAAGTTCATTGACCCAAATTGTCTACGTCAACCTAAATGCAAGTTTCATAACCAAACTGCCCCTAAATAGTGAGTCAGCTTGTTAAACAATTTTTTTTTTTTTATTGAAGTTCCCTTAAGTGCCCAAACTTCTTTCATATATGAAATTTTTGCTTGTTGAGATGAGAGTCTTTCATGCTCTCAACATCTAAGGATGAGTCTTCTTACTCTCAACCTCCAATGAACCTCTAACCGGTTATTTCACCTTCATTTTTTCTTTTTTTTTTTCGTTTTTGCTTAATTAGGGCACTCGTTTTTCATTGAGCGTGGAGGTGGTTTTTTGTTCCAAAACCACATTTTCTAACCAGAAGCGGCTGATGAACACATAGAAAAAACAAAATTTCTAGAGCACCTATCACCCACCAAATTCTAAAGCGAACAACTTAATTGATTGGGCCTCCATTAGAATATTTCTGTTATTTCTTCCTTTTGAAAAAATGTGATGGAGAAATTTCATGTTTCGGGATTGAGGAGTGAGTGAATTCCTTTTGGAATGAACATGAATTTGATGATGTTGTGGTGGGAGTTGTAACAATCATAGCAAATCGATTATTTATGTGGATTTTACATTGCCTTACACTGAATCAAGAGAAGCTATGGTGATGCCAATCAAAGATGATCATATGAAGAGTACTTGGATTTTTTTTCAAGCCTTTTACTTGAGATCTGTAGCTGACGATTTGTAGCCTTCATTTTTATTGGCATTGTGGTTTGGGTTCTTGAGCACTGAATAAACACAGAGTTCAGGGATCACCTGGACAACAACTTGGAATGATATTCTGGTTCTCCTTCTCTCTCTCACTAAAGATGCAAATTAACTATAAAGTCTAAGGATGAAGTTGGGTCTAATATGCTGAAAAAATATGATCTAAAATTAACAGGTAAATAAAGAGTGTCTTTCTTCTTATCTATATTGGTTTGGCGACATCATCATTCCATGCGGATGAAGCAGGAAAAGTTTTCTAGAAAAGAAACTTAAAGTTACTAGATAATTCTTTTATCATCGTCTCTAACAGTATTAAACAAAGGAACTAAGATTGGTATGTTCCTGTAAATCTCTTTAATCAATCACTTCTACTAAAACCGTATTTAATTAGTCTCATTCATACCCAAACACCGATCAGACAATCGCCGCCGGAGGTCTCAGCGGCAATGATTTTCTCTTTCTCAAACGGTGGAAGAATCAGCGGCAATCGTTTTCTTTTTCTCATACGGGAGAAGCAGTGGCAAATGGCAATATTTTCCCTTTGTCAAACGGTGGAAGAAGCAACGGTAATGGTGTTCTTTTCCATTCAAACTATTAGGGTTTTGAGTTGAAAAATGATGGGGGTAATTTTGGAATATTATAAAATCGGTCAAACATAAAAGAGGGTAAAATAGTAAATTAGCAATATTTGTTTTGAGAAGTTATGATACGTTTAAGAGAATTCATGGTGAGTTTTAGACAATTTCCTTTGTAAAAATGATACAAATGACATGTTTTGAAGCTGAAGGCCGGTGAATATTTAGGTCTTACTGAAAATCTGTGAGGAAGACTTCTTTATTGACGAGTTGCCACCACTCCTTTGTTTTCTGCAATTCGAATCAGTTCCAATTTTCCCTAATTTTCTTACTTAGTTTTCTCCGTTTGTAATCAGAGAAAGTTTTCTTGTATCTAAGTACCGGGAATCTATTTTCTTAGTTTGGTAATGCAAACGGGGTTTCAACTAAAGCGTTTTCAGCTTCAGCAGTAGCTACCGATCCTGCTAGTGAGAGTATAAGCTTACTAAATTACTTGATACTTGTGGGCCACTAGCAAAGCTTTCTTTTTCTTTAGCAAAGCAACTCATCAGAACCTGAATTTTCACACAATTTACGATCATTCTGCTAGTAAACCAGCGAATTTCCTTCACCTTATTGTGCTGACGCAAAATAAACCATTCCAATTTCCCCACCCAGTTGGCAGTTGCCCTACTTGAACCTTCTCTCACGAGCAGTACTTTTTGAGCAAAATTTCCCGCCAGCTTAGCTTTCCTGTTGCCCTGCTTTTAGCATAAACAACAAACATCAAACAGAAAATGTGCAATTTTTTTCTTCTCTTTCCTGGGGAAGGAGGTACATTATCGAAGAAGCAGGGACGGTGCGGTGCAGTACTCCCAGAAAGGCCATAACCCGCTGGATTTATTTAGAGTTTCCAGAATCGAAGACCATCTTCCTGTACATTGCGCCAAACAAACCAAACGTATCGAAGCTTCCGAAACAAAGGAGTCACGATCCACACGAAAAATCAAATCGAACGGCCATCAGCTTCAGCAGTTACCGATGGATGAGATGACATTGGGTTGTATTGGGGTCAGATTAGGTTTAGGTTTGTTTCAGGCTGACCTATCACCTCTTTTGTCTTAGGGAAATATTCTTTCATATCTTAGAATTGTTAACTAATTTCATCATCCCTATATCTATCGGCACAAAATTAACCATACTCACCTCTTTATCATTTATAACACATACACACACACAAAACACTAATGTTGCAATTAAAAATCTTTGCTTTTAAATTTGAAACCTGAAATTTTGTATTAGAAAAAAAAAAAACCTTAAAAGTGTCAATGCACATACATATTATACATAAAATTAAGTATCATAAATGCACACATATATAGATGTATTAAATGATATTTATATGATGTTTATATTATGAACGATTGGACCGTTCAACCCAAGAACTGGACCTCTAACCGATTCATTATTCGGGTCGATTTTAAAAACCTTGTATCAACTGATTGATTACCACTTTTAAACCCAAATGAAATATATACATTATGCATTATTTACGGGTTATTTTTTTAGTAAGAATACATTATTGAGGTAGTAGAATCGCATGCAAGTAAAAGAAATTAAAGGGCAGAGAGATTAATATACATTTACTTTAATTTTTTTTACTATATTTCTTTTCAACAAAATATCTTAATTCAGTGATTAGATTTAGAGAATAAAATATTTAAACAGTCAGAATTTTCAATGCATTTTATGATATTATTAAAAATATTCTGATTTAACTTTTATAGTCTGGAAATAAAGTCATGGCAAGTATTTCATTATATAGTAAAGATAACATAAACGATCTTCTATTTTCTTTTTGGTAATTACTGTGTTACAGGCGTTATAAACTTAGTAGCTATTTTCACACCTCGAGGAAGGGTATTATCCTTCAAAAGTGGTTTTGGTGACCTTGAAATTATAGTTGTGATATTTTCAACCTTGCGCTTATGACACACACAAGTAGGAGTGATCGTGGGCCGCGCTCAGTCTGATTCTGGGCCTATTAATTTATGTATAAATTATTAAACACATTGAGGTGTCAGTTGGATTGGATTTGGTCCAAGGTTCAAAATATTGATACGTATTGGTTCGTATCATATCGGGAGCACCCCGATATACTCTTATAGAGGATGTATCGGGGTTCTGATCAATTCGGGGGGTGGAGGAGCCTTAAACCGCCCCCTGAACCGGTTTTGAAAAAAATAGAAAAAAGTAGAAAAACAAGTATCGATATTGCCCGATATGCTCCTACTGGCGTATCAATATATAGAACCTTGATTTGGTCCAATCCGATCCAATCCAATGTGAGTTCATTATAAATGGATCAGGTCCAATCCAATCCAATGAATGCTCTGGACCAATTTGGATCGGTCCAATTCAATGTCTGGACCATTCAATCTGTTCAAATACATTTTGATTTAGATTGGTTTCAACCAAACCTGGTCCATTGAATTGGCTTAATCCAATCCATATCCAATATAAATTTGTTATGGATGGACCAGGTCCAATCGAATCTAATAAATATTTTGGACTGGATTGGTCCAATCCAATGTCTTATTGGTTCGTCCAATCCTTCCAAATTGATTTTGGACTGGACGAGGTCCAATCCAAAACTGGTCTATTGACACCCTTAAAATACATATAATATATGTATAAAATTATTTTATACATTTTGTAATATAGGCTGTATTTGGTTGCAGTGCAATTTTATTTGCATTATTACAAATGCATGGGAGTGCAAGTGTAAAAAAAAATGCAAATTCTGGTTTAATTTTATTTTGGATTTTAATTTATTCTGTTTCATGTCCTAATTTATTTCATTTGTCTGCAATCAAACAAAGTAAGCTAAAATTTGAAACAAAAATAGGTGAGGATTTACATTCAAATCATTTGCACTGCCATGGTTTTGCATCGATGCAAATTTATTTATATTGCAACCAAACACAGCCATGAAATTAAATATATATGTATTAAAGGTGTCATTTTGTAATATTTATATGTAAAATATAACATTAAATAATATAAATATAAATATTTGTGGGTCAGGTCGAGCCCAGGCCCATGTCGGGCCAGGCTAGAAATGACCACTCCTAAACAGGGTTCTAAACAAGCATTTTGACATAAGTGATTATTTAGATAAGCACATTTGAAGCATTTGGTGTGATGTTTTAAATAAGCTTTTAATTTTTTATTTTTTATAAAAGGGTTTCTCCAAAATGTAAAAATTCAGAAGGCCAAAAATATTTCGGAGAAGTACCGATACACTTGATGCAGAATTCTGAATTTCCAGCCCCCCTACTACTAGCCCTCTCCCCCCTATAAACCACATCCTATCCGTGAATTTGGCATCAATTCACGGTCAGGATGTATTCCCCCTGTACTTTGGGGCTATAAAATCCTGATATGGACTGATTGGTCATTTCTCCCAAAAAAATTTGGTCCTGTTTGAGAACACTTAATAGAAGTACTTATTTAAACAAGTACTTCTTTTAAGATATAGGACCACACATTAAGTGGTTTTTAAATAATTATGGGTGTTTGGTAAAAAAGAGAATAAGTACTTATTATTAAAAAAATACTTCTTAAAAAAGTGACATGGATGTGACTTTTTTTATGCACTTTTTAAAGAAGTATTTCTTCATTCGAATGGGACAAACCTGTCCCTATTTTTTCTTTAATGGCAAAACTAGCCCCACTCGAGTTTATCATCTTTTTTCTTCCGTAACCCTACAACAACAGACAACGATGGCGTTTGGTTGCAAGTCCACTGGCGACATTAGACTTCATAGAAGAATAACCGACCACTGTTGTAGCCTTTTTCGTCTGCTGGGTTTCCAAATGTTTTCAAGTAAATCTCATTTTGTTTTTTATTTTTTGTTTTTTTCCTTGCTTTCCTGAATTCTAAGGTGAGATCTGATTATGCGTAATCCGGCCGGTCTTAGCTGTCAACGACCTTGCCTCTAAACTGAATTGCAGGGAACCTGAAACGGAGAAGATGAGGAAGCTCCGGGGGGAACCCGGTGTAAAGGCTCCGAAGCTCAAGTTAGAATCCTTCAAAGGCAAGATAAAACCAGATAGCGCAAAGTTTGCATACCTTGTTCTTGGGGGGTAGAGAGCCTTTTATAACCACCTCGCGCACTCACTCCTAAGCTKCTGTCAGGTCGGGTATGATTACTTTCGTGCTTCTGCCAGTTCAGGTGTCATCATCTCTGCTGGGGTAGAACCGCCACTGCTCTTTTTGTCGGAGCCGTCTCTGTAATTGAAGATGGCGGTGGCAGGTGGCGGTGGCAGGTGGCCGTTGAAGTGCGGCTGTCAAGCGTCAGATCCCAAGTCAGTCAGGTGCGCCGTCCCTGGATACGGACTCCTTCGGTGTCAGGTACGGTGTGGTTTGTCTAGTTCGGCGTCCTGGAGGCGAAGTGCTGGAGTGGTGTGCGAGATGGTCTTGAGTTCGGATAGGGGAGTGTCCCGAACTGCCATGAGGCGGGCCAGTTCGGGTCACTGCCTTGTGTGGCTCGGGGCCCAAGGGAGAGTTCGGGCTCCTCGTAGGGAGGTCGGGCTCCTCGTAGGGAGTTCGAGCTCTTAGTAGGGAGGTCGGGCTCCTCGAAGGGAGTTCGGACTGCTGGTTTCTTCCCTTTGGTGCTTTCGCCCTGGATACGCTGCTTTAAGTGCCGAGCTATTTGTTTTTTGCCACGTGGAGTGATTGTGAGGTCGGACCAAATCTTCCTTCGTCAAGATCCATTTGGTGAAGGAGGATTTGGTATTGTTGAGTAGAAAATAGGTTTGATTCAATTCCTTCTTCCTCAGAGCATCGGTGAGTTTCCAATTTTTGATTCAATTCCCTTTTTTTATTTATGAAGAAAATAGGTTTGATTTTTTGTGCTGTTGTTGCTTTCAAGCTAGTATTTGTACAAGATTCTGCAGGAAATTTCGATTTAGGGTTTATGTATTGATCTACGTGTTTTATGTGTTCAATGTCTCATGGTTATACAAATCACGGGATTTAGGTGGAGAATAAGAGTTAGGTCTTTTTTTATCACCGAATTTCCATGCTCTTCGGTCCTTTTTTATCACCGATTGTTGGTTTTGTGAGTGGAATTTAGTTATCTAATAAGTAATTTCAGTGGCCTCATGTCTCAAAGAGCGGCGTTGATTTGGCTGTGTAGTTGTTGCTTCAATTATTTGATCGTTGTTGTCTATTGGTTTTGATGCAGAATCCGTAAGATCTACAAGGGAAAGTTGGTTAGAAATTATTTGATTTGCATTTATTATTATTGGTTTGGATTGTTCAAGGAGGATGGAATGGTGGAAGGTGGAGAATGAATTCGCCGTCGCTTGGTTCTGTGTTGTGAGGAAGATGATGAATAGTAGATTTTTGGGGATTCTGAAGAAAAAAATGAGGAAGAAATATGAGATGGAGAGGACTAAAATTATCATTTGCATAAATATAAGTACTTATTGAAAAATAGCTTACCAAATATTCTCACTCCATACTTAAAAACATAATAAGTGATTTAAAAAAATAGGTTATTAAACAGCCTAAAGGGTTGTTAAAATAAGTACTTATGAAATAAATACTTCTTTTAATAAATACTTAACCATCAAACAAAGCCTTGGGCTTTTTCTAAATGAGCTTTCCAGATTGAAAAAATGATTTTGGGATTTGTTTTTTATCAAACGCCAATTTGGGCTTTTTTGGGTGCTTTTGATTTCTAATAACTATAAACCCAATAAGCACTTAATATGAACCCTCCCAGCCGCAGCCTTGATAAAACCTGTCCGGCGTGTCCGCTAACAAAGGGATAAAAAACAAAAGGCTGCTACACCAAACAAAATAGAAAATCAACTGACGACCAACAATAAGAATACAAATTTAGATCTATATTTATTCCAATTTCCAACTCCCTCCATCTTCGTCCCTGCCACCTCAAGCTCGTTAAAAAGAATAAGAAAGAAAAAAGAAGGGAGGGAACGAATGCCAATGGCATCCTAAACAAATTATTCTTTCGAGAACCTCTCTTCTCTCTGTCTGAATCGTCCAAGGATAAGGGAGAGGAGGAGGAAGAGGAGGAGGAAGAGGAGGAAGCAACAAAGAAGAGGCAGCGATCAGAAGAAAAAGATAATACAAAAGAACCGGGTGACATATCCATTGTTCTCATCTTTTTCTCTTTCAATACAACGCCCGAAATAGAGAGTTCAATGCTTTCCCCAGTCGTAATTCTCCGATCTCTTCCTTGGGTCTTCCTCACCTTCTTTCTTTTCTTCCCGCCCTCCCTTTCTGATCCACGGATCACCACAATTGACCAACAATGTGGGTACACTTCTTTCCAAGGTAGCGTTGACGTTGATCACATTTCGAAAGTTGTCCAAGGAGAGAACGGTCTTGCCCAACTCCTCGGCGAGCAAGGTTGGGGAGCCCAAGTCTCCAACACCTATCCACCAGTATACATCCTAGCTCAATGCCAACAAGACCTATCGCCGGAAGACTGCCTTCTCTGCTTCAACGAGAGCCAGTCCAAGCTGAGCAACTGCCTTCCCGCCACTTCTGGTAGAGTATATTTGGACGGGTGCTTCATCCGTTATGACGATTACAACTTTTTCACCGAAGCCGTGGACCCTCGTTACGATATTGTGAAATGTAGTTCGTCCAAAGACGTGGCTGCCGAGGACTACATGAAATTGGAGTTTGCGAAGAAAGTTGGGGACGCGATCGTGAACGTGACGACGAGTGCAGTTTCGGAAGGGGGATTTGCGGTGACGGAAGTAAAAGGCGGAGTGGTTGCAATATATGCAATGGCGCAATGTTGGGGGAGTCTGGCCGAAGAGAGTTGTAGAGAATGCTTGCAGGAGGCAGGTAATTTAGTCAGAGGGTGTGCACCTGCCAAGGAAGGGAGGGGTTTGCTTTCTGGCTGCTATTTGCGGTATTCAACCGAGAGGTTTTTTGCCGAATACACAGAGGGTACTCGTCCCGGAGGTAACAACGGTTTCCATTCCTTTTTTTTTTTTCCTTTTTTTTCTTTTAAATTTTAAATTGTGGTAGTACGAAATATGAAATTAATTGAGCTAGGGGTGTCCACGGTTCGGTTAACCGAACCATGGCCCCTTTTTGTAAACCGAATCAGTGGTATCGGTTTTTTCATTTTGCCAAACCGAAATCGAACCGGTACCACCGATTAATCGATCCGCCAGTTTTGGTTTTTGACCGGTTCGGTTCTTTGGTTCTTTGGTTTATCGATTTTTTATATTTATAATATATTATATAAATATATGTATAATATTATATTATAAATAATAAATGATATATAACATATTATAAATATTTTAAAAATATATAATATATTTATAAATATATCATTATAAATATAATATAAATATATATTTATATATAATGAATATATATTTATATAAATAGATCATTACTATCAGTTTTTTTATAGGTTAATTGAAAACTAAACTGGTCCTTTGGTTTTTCAAGAATTCCGAACCGACAGGTTCGGTTTTTCATGGACACCCCTAAATTGAGCCTCTCTCTCTCTGTATGGGTATTGCGTAGGGATGTCAACAGGTTGGCTTTAGTACGGGTTTACCTCAATCCTAACCCGACACTACAGTGTCTCAACCCAAATTCGACCCAACCTGTCTTAAAATACATAATTTCCGAACCCAACCCGACCCTATAGGGTCTAACCTGATACCAACTCGACCTGACCCGTAGCATTTTAATTGTATTTTTTTAACACGTTTTGAAAACCTAAAATCCATTAATTAAGTTAGGAAATTGTTTTGTAGAATCTAAGATGTCACCTTTTCCATTTAAAAAAGAAAAAAAAATAAAATCAACATGTAAATAAATCTTAAACTTTAAAGCTATAGAATTAGAAGTCAAAAGTTACAAGAATACTTTGTATATATGTAAGGTATTATGACTTGACGGGGCGGGGCAGCCAAAAACCCAAACTCGACCCAAACCCGACTTGGGTTGAATAATCAAAACCCTAACCCAACCCATTGACATCCCTATGTATGGGATTGATTGCTCACCTTTCTTAGGTGATGTTTGGTAATGATTTCCCTTTATTTGAAAAACGTTCTATTGATTTATTTTTGAAATAAAAAAAAAGTGATTAATAAACATTTTTCTCCAGTTAGGCACCATTAGGTGCCACATAAGCAGAATAGTAAATAAATACCTTGGTGTTTGGGAAAATATTAAAATGAAACTTCCCCAAACAGGTGACTTACCATTTTCAAATAAATGGAAACCATACCAAACATGATGATAGTTTTGGGTTGGGACAGATTTCCAATTTGTCCTCATGTAGTAATTACCTTTGTCTTAATTTTTAGGGTAAATTCTAGGGACCCCTAATGTAGGGGAGTTCGGATCTCCTACCCACAAGAACCCTATTGGACATTGGGTTTCATTTGTTTGCAATACAAACATCAAACTAGAGTATTTATGTACTTAGTTCGGATTTGTGAATATTTGTTTGATATGCACAAATGCAACGATTAAGAGGTCAAAAATGTATTTTCCAATAGTTTTGTGTTGTGAACAGAGCACATTATTGTATTCATTTTTTGGATACATTTTTGTATTGTTCCGATAATTTGTGCATTTGACCAAAAGTTTAAGGCATTTAATGATTGGCCCGTGCTTTGTACCAATTCCAAAAAAAAAATGCAAAAATAGGTTACACAGTAAACATACTTTGCATTCTTAAATCGAAAAGAAGGTATTTTATTTATATAAAGTATATATTTATGCTTGTATCGCAACCAAACGCAGCCTTGAAAACATCTCATGTGGGTAGGTGTGAGGTTAGTGACAATTATCTTATGAACTTTCACTTTGCTACAAATAACAAAGGCATTAAATTATCGAAGTACCCATTTGCCTCCATCACTTCTCCAACGCTTATGCCTTCTCACCGGCGAAGAAGCTCTTTGTTACGTCATTGCCAGAGAAGGAAAAAATTTTCAACAAGAAATTACTTTTTAGCATTTGTTACACCATTGCCATAAAATAAAAAAGCAAACCGAAGCTTGTTGCTGTCATCAGAAAGAATGAACCAAAGCTTGTTTTTTTGTTGTCAGTAGAGAATAAGAATGATCCGAAACTTGTTGGTTGTTGCTGTGCCTCCATCACTAGAAAATACATACACAATAAAAAGATATCATGGGTTCTGAGGTCAAAGAATAAATCAACAAAATGGTTATGATTTATCCTCAGTGTGGGGGTCCCTGTAATTTACCCTAATTTTTGTTTCTTTTTTTTCTTCCGGAGGTTGAGTGAGTTCTCATTTGTTTCTTCTTCTGTGTTTATATTGTCTCATCTGTATAGGATTGAATTACTTTTTTTGATCTAAATACCAGGTCTGATTTGTCTTTCTTATTTTTCTAATTTTTATGGGGATGTTGGTTTACTATGTGAGTTTTGTGTCTTGTTATTTACTGTTAATTCAATTACCTTTACATTATTATTGTTTTCTTCTTAATTATAATAATGAAGCAGGGCTCTTCCTGTATTGCTTCCATAATGCGGATTTCATGTCTTATTCTCTGTATGTTTAGTCCTTTGCTGTTATTGTGATCTTTTCTCTCTGACGAAGCATTATTGATTCTTATTGCCAGGTTACACTTCTATGCAAGGTAAGGCTGCTCGTTTTTCTCTCTTCTTTTCCCTCCCCCATTACCTGTTTTGATCCAGGATGATGGGATTGCAGCATAGTGGGCTACAGGGGTTAGGTTGCAGCTTGACATTATCAATAAGCTTATGTGATTTCCTTCTCTGTTTCGCGTTGTTCCAGACCTTTCTGAAACTGCGTTCGTTATAGCAATTGCTTTGGCATCACTTGCTTTTTCTCTACTTGCTCTTTTTGGTGCTTGTGTTGGCTACAAAAGACTATCAATGATTAAGAAAGGTAAAATTTCAATAGTAGCAATACCTGTAAAACCTGTAACAGAAGCAAAAATCCAATCAATTAGCTTTTACAATTTTTTCCTCATAGCTCTCAACGTTTCTGATATGGTTGTCTTTCCTTGTATCTTATAGAACGGAATAACCTTGGTGAGATATATTCATCCATGTCCCATTTGAATTTCAAATATGAGATACTGGAAAAGGCCACAGACTCTTTCAATGTCAATAACAAATTAGGCCAAGGAGGTGCTGGTTCAGTATTCAAGGGGACTCTACCTGATGGAAAGGCTGTAGCAGTCAAGAGGTTATTTTTTAACACCAGACAATGGGTGGATGAATTCTTTAATGAAGTAAACTTAATCAATGGAATTCAGCACAAAAACCTTGTTAAGCTTTTGGGTTGTAGCATTGAAGGCCCAGAGAGTCTTCTGATCTATGAGTATGTACCAAACAAAAGCCTTGACCAATTCCTTTTCGGTAAGTCCTTGGCAAAATCCAATTGCAAATCTCAATCTCTCTAATGCCCAATTTTGAGTTTCATCACTTATGCATATCTGGTTTTCTTTGCTACTGCTGAACTTGGAACAAATTACTAGCTTACACTGACAAACGAAAAAAGTTTTATAATGAATATTTTCAATGCCCGAGATTGAAATTATTACAACCTGCATAAACATGAAGAATATAAGTTCATTGTGAATGGAAAAAAATGACATATTTCTAGAGGTTAACCACACTTAATTTTCATTCTTGCATACAGATAAGTACAAGGTTCAAATTCTAACCTGGGAGCAGAGGTTTAACATCATTGTTGGAATAGCTGAGGGGATTGCATATCTTCATGGAGGTTCTGAAACAAGAATAATCCACAGGGACATTAAGAGCAGCAACGTTCTCCTTGATGAGGATCTAACTGCAAAGATTGCTGATTTTGGACTAGCTCGGTGCTTTACAGCCGATAAGACTCACCTTAGCACTGGAATTGCAGGAACACTGTAAGAGAAAAGCTTATTTCTAAGTCAACTTTTGCTTCTCACTCTCATCATGTCCATGGTATTTATATAAACAAGGATATCTGTGTAGCTCTACAAGTGAACACAGAGTAAGGATAATGGTTGTCATTCAACCATACGCTAGGAATATCACAAAACCTTGATTAGTAATTTATTTTCTTTTCCTTCTCTCTCTCTCTCTCTCTCTTGTGTTGGTGAGGAAATTTCTACGTCTTTATGATATCAGAAACCTGAAATTTGCTGATGCTATATCTCACCTAGTATAATAAATTGATGTCTGTTTCAGAGGGTACATGGCTCCTGAATATCTGGTTCGAGGGCAACTAACCGAAAAAGCAGATGTTTACAGCTTTGGTGTGCTGGTTCTTGAGATTGTATGTGGTAGAAAGAACAGTGTCTTCACACAAGATACTGGTTCTGTTCTACAAACAGTAAGATTCTTTGCCCTGTTGTGCTACATATTAAGCAGTGATTGATGTGTTTAATTTCAACTGTTAAGCATAGATATGTAAAGCATTCATTCCATTTGATAACGGCATTCATTCTGTCCACAGGTTTGGAATAATTTTAAGTCAAATACACTGCCAGAATCTGTAGACAAATGCCTGAAAGATGAATTTTCAGTGAAAGAAGCATCAAATGCGCTCCAAATTGGGCTTCTCTGCACACAGACTTCAGTTTCCTTAAGGCCATCCATGTCTGATGTTGTTCAAATGCTAACTAATGAAGATTTCCCTATTCCTTTGCCAGTGCAACCTCCCTTTCTGAATGCAAGTGTAATGGGTGCACCCATGTCTACTGAATCATATCGTGATCCCATATCAGATAAGCCTACAACAATTGAGATACTGGAATAGAGGTAGAAGCAGCTCAATTTTTTCAGTTAGACCTGGAATGTTACAGAAAGCACCACTACCACTAGTATTGAATCTGAAGACACATCCGTCTTTGAACTCGAGGAGACCCATTTGTGTAAGAATCGAGTCCATTTGGAAGATTTTGTACTTAAATTATCCTCATTGAAGTTTCTGGGTTTCAAAATCAACTAGGAATCCTGAGGTGAAGGCAATGAAGATGGGGAAACTACTTGCTTTTTGGTTGGTTGTAGTGGTGAATTGGGATCAAATCCCGCTGTAACCAGGGTTTTTTTGGGG